CAAACCGGTGAGATTTACCGCGACGCGTGAGTACGAGAAGATTGCGCGAATCACATGACGGGTTATATAGCGCGCGCCGGTAAATGGTTAACGAGAGTAGAACGAAATGCATGCGTCATGGCACGGCGGCGCACCGCAATTTCAACATACCGAAGAATTACGTGCGCGAAAATCGTCTCGTCTCGCGATAGACTCGCTTTCGCGCGCGATGTGCCGAGCCGAGCCGAGCCGAGCCGAGCCGAGTCGAGTCGCGTCGCGTCGCGTCGCTCGCGCTATCATTATTCTATGCATTATTTATGTCATTCCCCGTGTGCCGAGTACAATGTGGGTCTACGAATCAAAATGCATTGCTTATGCAAATAGCGGTCGTGCCCCGCAGTCTCGGGGCGAATTCGCAGTCTGCTACGGGGAATAATCATAATGATCAATAAGATACAACCGCTCGTACGTCCGTTGCCCTCTCTTCCCCCCGGCTTCGTGTATTCTCACTCCGCACCTCATGCAAATCTTGAGGCGTATTGTCTGGCGATATTACAGGAATTGTTATCGCGTTGCATAATTTCAGTATTCGATCGTGCTCGGGTTTGCCGAGGTCGTTCGCTCGGCAATCGGTTTGTATGTATATCCGGCGCATCGATTTCCGTATCGTTTTTCGGCCAATTTGTTGCGGAAATTGTAAAAATTACATTAAACTAGAGCTCATTATATCGTCGATTGCGGTTGTGATTATCTTGCGCGCGATATCGAATATTCTCAGGAAATTCAGATTACGGTACTTAAACCGTTACGAAATGGAAGCGTATTTCAATATCTATACTCTCTCTCTCTCTCTCTCTGCCTGCGCGCTATATTTCGACGATATTTCGCGACCAGTGGCTCTCTCACGAAATAACGGAAGGTGGTAGAGAGAGGTACGCTTATAGGGCGAACGCGGTCGGTTCTGGTCGCCGGGTGGTTTTGGAATCCGCGCCACGAGTCGGTGGTTTTGCGGTACGACGAAAACCGCCGACCCTCTCGAAGCTCTTCCCGTCCGTTCTCCCTGTGTTTGCGTCGTCCTTTTGCGTAATCCCGCCATGGCTTAGCGAGTTTCTCACGAGAGTCTCTAAGTAAAGCGGACGAGTACACCCGGCCACCAACTCTCAGAACTACCATCTCTTTGATTAGGGTGGTATATCAGATGCTCCCGGTGATACAAATGGCTGTTTCTCTCCAATATTATGTTGTAAAAGTAACTAATCAAAATGAATTTCATTATTTTCTTTTAGGAAAAAATTGCGATATATTTTTGATAATAGCTTTGACGAGTTTCATAATTTTTTAAATAAAACAAGTTGGTATGTAAATTGAAATATGTGCATTATAGATTATAAATAGGAAACACAAGAGCAAATTTTGAACATTTTTCTTCGAGAATATCTCAAATAGGCATACGTCTGATTAATCCAGTAGCATTTCAATTTGCATTAGACGTACTAATGCAAGTCCGTTTAGCGTACCTCGAGATGAGCAAATGTTCTTGGCACTTGAGCGCGCGCGTGCCTGGTATTTGGTTACGGATTTGATCTCACAGGCGGGGACACCGTAGAGAGCAGTTAACCTGTCCGATAATACGTGCCGATAATCAGGCATCTAGTGGATGACGGACGGCGCGATCGATGGAGGTAACGTAATTAGACGCGGCGATACGCGCCACTTAAGCGTACTTGAGTGGCTGCAAACGCAACCGATTGGGTCTAGTTGCTGTTAGCATGGTCGGGTCGTCTCGTCTCCCTCCTTCTCTCTCTCTCTCTCTCTCTCTCTCTCTCTGTCTGTCACCGGCCGTAGGGGCAGCGTTGTCCGTAAACGGCGACGTCGCCCGTCGTCGGCTTTAACGAACGTCCATTGAGCGGCCTCCTCGCTCCATTGAGCCGTTCGCGATAATATATTGCGAAACGGCAATCCGGTATCATGCCGCCGGCCCTCGATGTATTAAATGTCGCGCGAGACTCGAAAAGCAATAAAAGCGCGATCGTTGCGCTTTAATGCCAATTCTTGTTCGTCGTTATCCGGAGCCTGGCTATCGTTTTCACGCTCTTGTCGGGACGATAACGCGCGCAGGCTCTCGATCGCGCGGAAAATAAAAAAAAAAAAAGGCGCGGCGAGTGGGAAGAGAGGGACGGGAATGATGATGCGCGAGAGGAGGCGGATCAATCGGATAATTAAATCGGCCGCGACACGTAAAGGACACTGATTGACGTGCGCGACGGCTACGTTCTCTCATTATTCGTCGAAACGACATAATTCGCGCGCTTCGCTTTTCAACGGACACGCTACTAAACCGCGTCGCACGCTCGACGGTGTTGCTTTTCCGTCTCTCATCCATGCGGAAAGGCCATCGGTCGCTCATTCGATTAAAATGCAAAAACGATAAATGTTTCGTAAACAATCTCAGAGAGAAAAATATCCCTTTTTTTTTTCTCACTATCGACAAGATATTATCGTACTTTTGGCATTTATATATATATAATAATATTAAAGATATATTTTTATATTACATAATTATGTGTTTGCCATGTCACAAAGCATAATTTATAACAATTATGAATGCACAATTGATTGAAAAAAATCTATTTCACGATTCTTAATATTCTGATGGAGCCACTTTTTTATTTTCTTACCGTATCGATCTGTTAAGGAGCTGCAAAATGACAAGCAGAGCGTTGTGGTCTGACGCTTCGTTCCGCAGGAACAAAAGCTGATAAACTAATTGGATTGACCGTCGTGACTTGTCGCATGCAAATTGGATCAGCGATTTAGCTGCAATTAGCTAATTTCGCCAATTCGCATTAACTTCGCTCTTCCGTTCTTTAACATTCGATAGATGAGAGAGAATTTCTACTTTTGTGATGTTGCGCTTAAAAAAGTCGCTTGCGGAGAACATGTATATGTGTGTGCGCTCGTACGTTGGCGCAAATAAATGCGCGATGCGTATAGTGTTGTCTGGTACGGCTTCGCCCACCTTGGGTTTGAGCCGTTTAAAGATATTGCGCGGCTGCCGCGCAAATCCTCGGTCTAATTTGAACATACATGTGCGATAATGCACACGTTGGGAGAGAAGCCCGACACGAAGCCGTGGAAATTAATAAAACACGTTGCGGTGACTATACATATACAAATAGCTACAAAGCCTTCTCTAAAAGGGCTACTGCACGTTAAGATACGGCGCGTACGAGTTTACGTCGTATCATTTCTCTCAAAGAATTTGATTCGCTTTTTAATAAAATATAAAAGCAAGAGGTAAAAGATATTACAGAAATTAAAAATATGTTTCTAATAAAATAATATAATAAATTATTTTTTTTTTTTTATAAATATAAATAATAATGTGAAAGTTTATATATGTAAAAAGAAGAATATCGGTTAGTTGGACATTTATATTTATTATGTTCGAGCTGTATCGCGTGAGGACTGGCTGATGTCACGGACAAGTCATTAGCGCAATAATGCGTCCGGGAGTTGATTTTTATTTTACGAGTTTTGGCACGATTTTCATTACGCGGTCGCGATCGTCGGCGAATCGTTAGCGAGTTCCTGCACGAAACACCGCGATTCTGGCATTCTTTGGCCGCCGTGGAATCTAGATCGTGCGACGCGGGAGAGAACGTTCGGACGGGGAAAAGGGAGAAAGGGAGAGGGAGAGCTATTCCGGCTTTTACGAGGCCATAGTGGCGTATCCGTTTTGCGGGGCACGACGTGCAAAACGATCGATAACACGCTCGTAACGTTATTACTAACAGGTATACGGAGGTGGGTAGCACCGGTAATAATGTGGCTTTTACGCTCGTGGGCGCTGATACAGCAGCTACCAAAGTCAGTCGGCATTTACTACAGTATACTCTGCGACGAAAAGAGACAACGCACCTTGCAATATTTTATAATTGAGATAGCTATAAATAATTAACTTTGAAACATATACTTTAATAGAGGTAATAAACACACATCCCAGAGAAAATTTGAAATTGCCGTCGTTTTTTGTATTTAGTTTTGTTGTTTTTAAATTGTTTTTTATTATTTATTAAAAAAAATTAAAACATATATTTAAATCTTATATATTTAAACTTATTTAATTTTTTTTTTTTTATAAGGTAAACAAACCTATGTAAGCTGTAACGATTATCGAAGTGATACAAGTGTATATAAGGATAGTAAAACGCGTATAAGAATATACATATAAGAATGTTATATAAGAATTAAAGAATAATGTTTGTGACACAACATGCTGTTTTTAAATCATTACTGAAGTTGTTTTTATTCAGGTAATTGACCACAAGTTCAATCCCTAAACTCAAACGGAAATAGTAGCGTTGATTTGATTGCATAATAACATGGTTTTAAAGGTTTTCCCTTTCAATCGATAAAAAATCATTGAGCTATTACAAACAAGTTTTACGTTATCCCCTATTTATCGTTACATTTGTGTTTTATAAATAATGCGATGTACAAAAGATACAATTATGTACGAATAGAAACTCAGTGTAAATGAGATATAAGAAATATAATTACTAGAGAGATTAGGATTTTTAATATACGAAATTTTTTTTGATAATATTATCAATATTACTAAAGTTTCTGTACGATCCGAAAGATATCCAAAGATTGAAAAACCAAAATTATTATCTGACGAAAGCCTGCAAACATCATTAAATTTCGTTATTACAAGGACAGAAATAACGATAGCAGACATAATAAACGAAGAAAAATATATCATGTTAAGATTTAAAAAAAAAAAGAAAGGAAAAATGAAAGCATTAATTTCTTTATGGGATGTGATGCTGTCTTTTTGTCGTGATACGTCTAAGCGGCAACATTTTTTTTTGTCCAATCTTATATATCGATTTCGAATTATGTGCGAGTACGCGAGACGCCAAAGTATTTGGAATAAATCTTGGAGTATTATGGGCTTTAATAGCGTTAAGGGATTGCGGTGCATTAATACATTTAATGATGTTTTTGTGTTGCAGGGTCCACCGCAGCCTGGGCAGCCGTTCAAATTTTCTGTCGGCGAATCCTGTGATCGTATCAAGGAGGAGTTCAATTTCTTGCAGGCTCAATATCATAGGTATCCTCCTTTTCTTAATATTCACAAACTTTGTAAATTGCAGTCAATCGGGGATGTACGTAATATTTTAATTTCATTTAATAAGAATATTTTATTTAATAAGAATAAAACGTGATAAAGCTAATTTACTACAAACTATTCAATCTTAATAATTAATCAATATGATTATAATAAACGTACGTCTCCATTATCTGAAATCACTTTTCCGACGTAAATGTTTGCACAATTTTTTTTCTTCTAGATTGCGCGACGATATATTTTATTCTGATTAATTTATTGAAGTTATATTACAATTGTAATATTTTTGAGGAAATCGAGATACTGACGCAACTTATCCAACAATTTACGCCGGTTTCATTTTTAGCAAAATTTACCGAATTCCTGTTTTCTCGGCGAAACTACACATTTTCCGACGGATAGTTGAGCGCGATGTAAATTCTGCTCGGCGGTTAGTAGTTTGTCGAACGGAGCAAACGGGTTCGCGCCCGTAGACACCGCAGGGCCGTATCCATTAGACGTGCGTGCAAATACCGCGTAGGCGCGCACGCGAAACGCACGGACTGACGTACGGACGACGGGCGTAGGTAGATAATTGTTTGTCCGACCGGAAACTGTGTGTACATCGAAGTATGCGCACGGTCTGGAGAAGGACCGCGTTTGGATAGCGCGTCTGTATGCTGTGCAAGCATGCACGTGTCTGCAATCGCAGAGCGCAATGGTTTCCTCATAAAATACATCGCGTCACGCTCTTTGATAGATTTGGCAAAAGCTCGTTGGCATAATTATAATTTCTTCGATCGTTGAATTTACGCTTCTAACCATTGTCGCAGAGTCGTGTATGTAGAAAAAGAGTTGGCTCCCAGTTTACGAAGATTGAACGATGTGCAAAGTGCCTAAAATATGAAAAGAAAAATGATTCAAATAGCAATATCGGTAACCTGTCTAAATTGGAATAAATTTCTATATACACTGCTATGAGAACAATATTCATAAATTTCATGGCTAGAGATATTAATCACGGAAAGATAAAAACGTGTCCGACTGCGTGAAACGCAGAGCCTACCTCGGTCGCGTGTAATAATCGCGCGTGTTTAAGCACGCAACGTGATTCCCGATAATTCGTCCCGTAAATCGTTGGCACGGCGTCAATCTGAAATAATTAATTGACTCTCCGACTGTGCGAGTATTGCCGCTTGCGTAACGAGAGTTGCCGCTTGCGAGCACGATCGTTAATACCGTGCTAATTTATCGCCTTATAGATGAGATTGCGTCGCATCTAGCGTACTTTGATTCGGCTTTCACGAATATTAAACGCCGCATTGGAATTACCGTATGCATTCTATCGTCTTCCTCGAATTTAAACGATCTCGCATCCGATATTACGCGGCTTCTGAATTTTTTCCTAAAGAAAAAAAAAAAAAGAAGATAGAAATTTTACAGGAATTTTTTTGATATTTTTATTATGATATTTTTAAAAATCGGTAAAGACTGTCTTTATTCGTTTTTTTTCTGTCGCTGAAGCTTTTATGCAGTTACTATAAAATCTCCTTTATTTTTTCGATACATACATATTACAAACGGCGCTTTTTTAATATCGCGACGAAGAATGACACGCGGAGAGACAATGGCTCCGACGATTTCGAGGGCTGCTGGATATTAATGCTCTGTTCTTGTTCTTCTTACACAGCCTTAAATTGGAGTGCGAGAAACTGGCCAGTGAAAAAATAGAGATACAGAGGCATTACGTGATGGTAAGCCGGGAGAAGGATGAGAAAGTAGAAAGGGACAGCGCGTTACATAGACACATACATACATATGCACACACATACATGTATAGAATTATATAAATCACCTTACCGTTGTTCCCGGATTAATATGAATTCGTTTTCGTCGCGCGTGAATTTGAAAGCGATATCACTCGGTCGCGGTCGAGCTATTTCAATTTTCGCAAGCGAATTACGAAGAAGCTAAAAGAGAGACGAAATTATAAAAACAAAACCGATTTGACTTTGCCGAGATGAGTTTTCCGAACCGCGATAATAACACGTGTGTACTTTTTGTAACGCTTTTTATCGTACGTTGGAGCGCAATTAGAATAAAAATGTCACGGATCCACTCGCAGAATAATGTCAGAGGTATAATACTGGAGTTTTGGGCGCGCGTATAGAGAAGGAAAACGCGAAAACGGTGAAATTATCATTGCGCTGAAAATACTGGGAACACGGAGAGAAACATGGATCATACAGAGAGACGACGCATCCACACTCGCATTATCGTCAGGTATACAGTCATGGAGCAGCAGCAACGGCGGCGACGACGGCAGTAGCAGCAACGCGATGCACTCGAGCGTTACAGGCGCATACGAACGCATTCATATGCCGCGGTGCACAAGCGGTTTTGTCGGTCGTCGTCACCGCGAGATTATTTCCCTGCGCCCCGGAATGCCACGCTAAACAAAAATACGACGCGGGCTTGTCGTCGTTAAAAAAGTTATCGCCGCACCGCGAACGGGGTCTTTGTCCCGCTCTGATGTCGCCGTCGACGGGTAACATGATGGTGGTCGACCAAGTGAATATTAATACGCGTTTTAACGCGTCGGGAAAAAGCACGGCGCGACGAGGATTAACTCTTAATGAACCTGCGCACTGCCGCTGTCGATTCTCGTATTGATTTCGTATTAACTTTCTTTTCGAACGAGAGGTGGATTAAGTGCGCGAATTTCCTCACGATTACATTCCCTCCCCCTCTCTTTTGCAGAATTATTAATTATCGCTCGGGGATAATATTTTCGTCATTTCGCGTTTAACAACAAGTACGCGCGCGTTATATATGCGATCGTTTATATTTACATACGGACTTTGTTGTTAATCGAACGCGACGTAAATTCGACGAATGCGTTTTTATGAATTATTCGCTCGCAATCGCGACGCTTGCAATATTTTCCACGATCCACTTTGATAAACATGAAATTCATACGCAGATACACGCATATATACACAAACACGTATACACAATGGCCAGTATATAACAATTATAATCAATGTTTGTTGCGGCTGCACTAATTGTGTGTTTTTAATGGCTTGGCTGTGCACCATCCCTCCGCAATATTCCTCAATTTGGGGAGGCGTGGAAGGAACGAATCGATTCGGAAGGTTAAAAGAAAACGTGCGAAAAAAATTCGGGACAGATTAAACGAATCGTTATATCGTCGAAACGACGCGTTTCAAACACGATATCGCATCCCTCATTCGCCACGGAACCCAAGTCAGAGACCCCTCGACTCGTTGACGTCTCGATAATCCCTCGTTTAACGGCGTTATATTCTCTATTGTGGCCGAAATGTGCCACATGACTCTCCCCCGTTGCAAAGCGAAAGATAGAGGCTCCCCAGCTCTCCTTTATTTTGCCTCCACAGCTTTTGAATGTCGCCTGCACTTACTAATGTTTAGCTTACACGTGTGATTTCCTGCTTGTTCTGTCCAGTATTAAGTTGGAGCTGGAGAAACTCGCCCAGGAGAAGACGGAGATGCAGCGCCACTATGTCATGGTGAGTCCACAAGCTTACAGAACCTATCGCAGAACAAAAATCGGCAGTAAATCGTATTTTTCGCAAAAAAGGATCGAACGGCGCGACGCGTTTTTCTCGTTTCACACCTAGAGATTAATCCTCGTAAAGTCTATTTTACCTCTTGGCTGAAGCGTTACGTTAATTATAGGAAATATTCTATATCTAGCTCGCTCGTTAAATTTGTGCCACGATGCGATACTGCAATATATATCGAAACATAATTTTTATATTTATCTCTTTAAAAAAAAAAAAAAAAATACTTTAACACGTTTAAATTACACGCTTCAAAAACTTGAAGTGTATATCTTTCGAAATCTGATTCGTGATAAAAATATATTTGTCTTGCGGTATAAGAGAGGAAGTAATTTAGAGTTACATCGTACGCGTGCCACGTTGTTTCTTTGCCATTGTGGCTCTTCTTCTGGCTTTGTTTTTCGGCTTTGTCCCGCGAGGGTATACTATACACGTAGACGCCGGTGTAGAGTCGCGGCTTGCTTTCGCTCGTAGATCTTCGTTATCGCGATACACCGTCGCCGTGTATGCGTCTTCATTAAGCTGCGTGAAGCGTGAAGAGGTGCACCACTTTCTTCGCGGGAGGTCGAAGAGTACCTCTTTTAATTTCACGCCAGTTGTGCCGACATCTCGGCATCTACATTTTTTTCCCATCTATCATTTCAGAAAAGAAAAATTTCGAGAATAGAGTGTTTATCTTGACGTGTGTCTTTGTGTAACGCGATAATTTTCATGTTATATCGTCTAGTGTCCACAGGAAAGTACACAAATCTAGATTAAGATTAAAGTATATATACATATATTTTTAAACTTTGGAAATTTATGAAGAAAATATTTATCATTAAAAGATAGAAGCACGCATCTATTCGCAGTCGCATCGTAAGTTTACGATCCCGAGTTCGTTGCCCAAAGCTCGCAAAGCGTGCATTATAGGCGGGCGATAATTTATAGGCCGTAGTCTGCGCGCGGTCGCGCGTTTGATGCAAATAACTTGATATAAAATGCACGGCGCTCGCTCTCGCGTGGACGTGGCATTTCCGCCGATTCATGCCGACACGAAGATTAATCGTGCGATCGTCTCACGTACGTACATACGTAGCGTGTATGCCGTACAAGAGCTTGCGTTACCCAGGTATGAGCTCTGGCTTCCTCGATCGATCGATTTTCGCATCGGTACGTCGATCCCTTTATCGCGGCGCGTACGATCGATCGGGCCGCGATTCACGCGCGCGCGTGACAGCCTTTAAATGTATACATATCACACTTTATCCCACTTTCGTTCGTATATATATAGCGTGCGCACGCTTATTGTTCCGTTCACCGCGCGGTAACGAACGTCGGCGCGAAACATAGCGAAACCACGGAATGCACTTAATCAAATTTCGATTGACGAGCACACGAAAGCATATTTATTGCGCTATCGTTCTATCGCGTCGTTTTATCATTGATGATTGATTACCGATGTAGCAAGAATTTATCGTAGTATCGAGTTTAGACCGGCGTTAACTAGCAACAGGTATGTACCGTACTCGCGTCATCCATTCCTGCGGGTACAATCGTAGCGCATCCGTCGTGCTTTGTCCGTCTCTAATCATCGATCACCGCGAATATCACTGGTTAAAGTATCGCGTTACGGTTTTACTCGGTAATCGCCGTAATTTGCTTTCCTGCATCGAGAACGTAAGAAGACCGTTGCTCGCCTCGTTGGATTACGATGATTTTTTCCAATTATTACCGTGTTTGTCCCTTTTGCGAGTAATATAGTCGGGATACATCTCGTATATACGCATAAAGCCATTCCCCGTGTCTGACTCCCCTCGAATTTTTCACGCGACAAAACCGCGACGTCGCGACGCGTTTTCAGCTGCCGCGGCAACCAGTCGTGCGAGACGAAGGATGCTCCGGTACACGAAGTCGTTATACAACACTACCACGGCCACGGGGCATTACGCCTTTACGACTCTTTCATGTAATTGTTGAGCTCGTGGACTTTTACGAGCACGCGAATCGCGAGCGCGACGGGAGACCGCCGGCCACGAAGCACTTTGTCCGACACGGCGCTCGCTCGATACCACCCTATACATTAGTATGAGTATGTCCTTCGTTTCGTGTTTCCGTTCGCGAAGTGCGCGCACTAACCGCGCCAGTCGCCAGTCGAGTGACTCTCCGAACGTCTCCATCAGATATAAAAATAACATTAGGTACGAAGGGAATACCGCGCGTGCTCAGGGTGAGAGGATTAAAAGCGCTCCGCGATATATCTTGTTGAGAATTCACCGAATTATGTCGTAGTAACATGAATACGCGAGCATAAATAGTTATCGTGTCCACGTATATATGTTGTATGCTACGTTTTTCTCGATTAAATCAAAGCTTCGAATCGACCGCGGAATGGGGCTACATCGAGGACGAAATTTGCAAGTCGTATGCGGTCAGAGTCAGATGTCGGCATCGCCTAATGTGTGTTCGTAACAGGCGCGATTTCCATTGAGACGATGGAGGGTATGATAAGGATCTCTCTGTCTCTCTCTCTCTCTCTCTCTCTCACTCTCTCTTTCTCTTTTCGCGAGAGGGGACGAATCGGCAATATATGTAGATATCGATCATGATCGATATCGTTTGGATGCTCGAGAATTGAAAAGATATTGCGGGAATCGTTTTCGCAATCAAATCGGTCACGAATCGGAGACGAGTACCAATAGAGTAAGTTTCCAGTTTTTATAATAATGGAACCTTTTCTCAACACACCGGTTTTCTGAGTGGGAGAGTCAGTGGATGAAAATTCAGTTGGATGTGCAGGCTCGATTTATCTTCAACTTTAAGAGCAGATATGAAAAGACACACCGGGAATAAAAATACACCCTGAGATGCTTTCTTCTCGACTGCTGGCATAAAAAAAGATTACGCGATGAAATTCATATAAATGTCGAAAGTATCGATAGTATCTGGGTAAATATTTCTAGTCGCTGTTATCGGGTTTATACGTTTTCACTCCATTATTATAGCCGACTGTCGTTGTTCCTCTACTTGTATTAGATGTCTGGACCACGGAAGTAGCGTTTCCAGTCTCGCGATAATTAAGATCCTGACCTTCCGACAATTCCGTCTCCTCCTTACCGAGGTCTATTAATTAAAAGCCAATTACTTCATTGGAACTCTGGTGGTGAGACAATCCCCGTGATAATCTGCATTTTTTAACTATCTTCCATTTTCTCCGTAAATCCGCCAGAACGCTACACAAGAAAAAGACAAGCTATAAGCTAAGTTTTAGACATTAAATAAAAAAAAAACACAATTTAAAAAAAAAAAATATAAGATTTATTTAAAAATGCAACGACGGGAGAAACAGAAACATTGTTAGTTAGATTTTTTAATCGTTTTTCTCTTTTATTTATTCTCATTTTAATAGAATCGCGATGAATTTAAATATGTAATTACATTTTATAATATACGCTAACATAGGTTACAAGCTTTCAGCGAAATTATTATTTTCGCAAGAACAGGACCGATTGAAATATACATTTCGCAATTATTGATAATGCTCGTGAGCGCGAATGGAATAAAAATATGGGCGAATTAATTTATATTTAAAAGCAAAGCGTGTGTGCGCGACCAAATTTCTCTCCACATATGTATTTTCTATATATACATTGTAGCGTTCACAATTTACAAAATAATCGTAATTTCGAAGATAAACCGCGCCGAATGAATATCAAATTATTAAAACAAACGGGTTTAATTAATCGCAGCCTGTCCGAAGCAGATTCGTAAAATATTCATTCGGACGAATTTGTTCACATTTAAAGTATTAACGATAACTCTACCCGCATTACGCGAAATGGATATTACCGGTGTCGCTAAAATCGTAATGCGTCGAGAACGTTGCGTTTGATAGCGCGAGACCGTCTTCGACCGCGTTTCGACCATCTAACGCGTTTATTACATTTACGTTCCCCCCTCGTACCCACGAGAAAAACTCTAAACCGACTGTCGTAGCTGCGCCGATATATTAAAACGCGGTTTAGTGCGCTCTTTACGACCACCGGGGGCAATAAAGTCCGTTTCACAACGGTCGTTGATTCTGCCGGGAATAATGCGGCGACTATATTCAAGACGCTCGTTAAAATCGCAAACTGCCGGATTTTCTCCTTTCCTCCTTGACGATTGTCGTTACACGCTTTTTTTTTCTTTCTTGGCGCGTGACCGCATCGATACACG